CACATTTATGGTGCATCGGCCAAATACGTAAGACCGATAATTCGCCTCAGCGACTGCACAAAGGTTAGCTATTCTAATCTTGGGACCTAGCGCCCAAAATCCTGCCTCGCACCTAGCGACGCTATTCTCCTCCGCATCAGGGATTAAATCTTCCCAATTTTCGCTGAAAATTAGCGAACGGCTCAAAAAGCAAGCATTTCTTCCTAACAATTTTTGCACATCAAAATGTCACTAAATTTTTTCAGAGAGGCAATCTCATTTCACTCAAAAGCATTAGCAAATCTGCTCAAAAAATTTGACTACTACAACTTCAAGCTGAAATTTACTTTAGAAGTTGATAGAGAGGTTCAAAAGAAATGTTTCGAAAACTTAGATATTCTCCTTTCTTGCCTTTCAAAGTTAGAGCAAGAACGACAGTTTTGGACTCAATACTCGACCAGTTTGGAGAATTTTATCTCAAACAGTCTAAAAGCAAAAGAAAAACTGTCATACTCCAGCTAGAAGAGCTTGAAAAAGAGCTTGACTTTCACCAGTTGCTTTCTGATGCTAATGTTTTTACTATCGCTTTGGACTATCAGATAGTATATGCAAAAACATGCAAGAATTTTGCACCAAGTCAAGTAGTCAAAAGACAGCAATCCAGCTTGCTTCGCCGTTTTATATTTGACGCGGAAAGAGAGTTTGACAGTAGCAGTGATGAGCGAAACTCCTGCGACCGTAGAAGAAGGCAACGAAAATGAGGAGCGTGAACACTATCCTGAAGACTGTGGAGTTGTGGCTTGTGGAGGTGCCATGGATGGCAAAACATCAGCAATTCGCGATGGACATGATAGCCTGACGTCACCGACTATGCCTGATGCGAGTCAATTCAAGGAAAACGATCTCAAGAGAAGGTACAAGAATGTAATGCGACAATTCAAGAACAGTAAGAGGAAGAACCAGTTTTATATTCCTAAAACTATGTTTTAGTCTCCCAATGCGGATTCGCTCCGTAGTAATGATCTACATTATTCTGCCTTTTCACTATCTACTTCTTCGCCACCTTATGTCAGCTGTCACGACCACATCAGCCACAATTCCACCCCCATCCATCTGACTCCTCAAGGACGTCCACTACGGTATCCTGATAAGTACTGGATCTATATATTTGCTTAAAATAATTGTGTACGTTTATGTGCTGCTCATTCGCTGTTTCTCATTTACTTTTCCCGCTGGCCGGAGTGTGCCGACTTGTCGGCACCTTCCCTACAACCATATCATTACTCCTCCTAAGCACCGTAAAGGTCATGCCATAAGCATGACCTGCTGTGATATGAGTGTATTATTGCCCAGAAGTTTGTGATACTACTTTACCACGCCTTCAATCCTCAGCATTCTACCACTACACGAATGGGTGTATGTCGTCTGTTCAATAAAGCTCTAATGGCTTACGTGTTCTAATAACAGTACCACTACTAATTTAGTGAAAAGTGTTTTTGAGTGGAGAAAAGCTCTCAACTCCAATATGTCAGTTGATATCATTTACGTGGACCTCTCAAAAGCCTTTGATAAGATTCCCCATGAACTGCTAATGTGGAAACTTCAGAATTTTGGCATCTCTGGGAAGCTTTTGACGTGGTTTGAGTCCTACCTTTCAGACAGATTTATGACAGTGAGAATGAGACAGTCCTTTTCTGGTCGATATCACTGTTCTAGTGGTGTCCCCCAAGGTGGGGTGCTATCTCCACTACTGTTTCTGATATTTACTTTTGATCTCCCAGATTTGATGAATTCTAAAGGGATCAAATTTCAAATTTATGCTGATGATATCAAGATGTACGCTTTTTACGATGAGCAGAGCCATTGTTGTGTTCATGAGAGACTACAGTGTTCAATTAATGCATTAAATGTCTGGGCCTCGAGAAACGGATTATCTATAAATCCTGATAAATGCTCTTTTCTGCATTTAGGCAAGACTTTGCCAATGAATTACAAAATTAATGGAAGAGAGTTGGTTCCTTGTTCCGTAGTAAGAGATCTGGGCGTGTATGTGGATTCTAAACTTGATTTTAAAGAGCACATTGATTACGCAGTAAAGAAAGCCTATTCTTCACTATTTTCAATTTTTCGAAACATCCACAGTACTGACCCTGTTATTCTGACGAAATTATACAAGGCTTATGTGGTTCCTCATTTGGAATACTGTTCCCAGGTTTGGAATCCAGTAAGTATGAAGCAAAGTTCTAAAGTGGAAAAAGTTCAACGCATTTTCACAAGAATGGTTCTTTCTCGAATTCAAAATACCTTTGCTAGAACAGTACCAGATTATAAGGACCGGCTTAGAAGGACTGGATTGAAGTCGCTGAGAACCAGAAGAAGTATTGCTGACCTTGTTTTCTGTTTTCGTATTTTGCGAAAAGAGGTAGATCTAAGCGCCAGCAGCTTTTGGGTCTTTAGACCCGTTGGCTGCAGACGCTTTAGTTTCAATCTCTGCTATCCTAGGCTGAATAAATACAACTATTCTGGACTTTTCAACTTTCTTTTCTACCGCTGCGCACGTTGGTTCCGACGTCTGCCTGCTAAATTATTGTCATCCAAAAATAGTGAGATTTTTAAAAGGGGTTTACAAGAGCTTGATTTAGAAAGTATACTGAACTGTGGAAATTACCTCTGTTGATGGTTGCTGTTGGTTGTTCATCCAGATTTTCCGGAGATCCCTCTTAAAGAGGGATGTGTGGAGATTGTGGATGAACAACAGTGCATAAGTAAACATTCATATTCAGGTTCTTTCAGCTTTGAGTCATGGAAGGATCCTTAATTGGTTGTTGAATTTTTTTTTTTGTTTTCTTTTCAACCTCTTTTTCTTACCTTTTCCTCATTTTATTCCGACAATCATTTCTTTTTCAGATTCTTCTACGGCTCTGTTCTGTTGTGGTTCTATGTGTTACTTCGGTTGTTTTATGTACTGCGCCGCACCGTTTCTACAGTGACCGCTGCGGAAGATTTTCTGTTATCTGTTCTGTGTTTACATCCGTGTAACCAAGTTTCTCATTACTTCTTGCATCCTACTGAATCCTGCCCACCTCCAAAATGAAACCTAAATTTTTCTGTTGGGGCCATGTCAGCTAGCTTGGCACCGGGGGCTCGCTGACACTCCTAAAAGGGAGGATGGTCATAATTTTGTAGGTGGGGGACTCTACAGATGTTTAACTTTGATCTGTTTCTTAGTTCGTACTTCAGTTCTGGTTTGCTTGGTTGCGTTTCTTATTCCTTTCTTCTTCTTCTTTTTTTTTTTTGGTGCACCCTGAGTGTAAATCAAAATAAAAACAAAATAAAAACACACAGGAGCCACCATACTCCACTAAAGGCGCCACCCATCCGCCTACGGCTACAATAGAGCCTATAGCCATCACATTTCAGAAATTGTGGCGGCTTTTAGGCGTAAGGGTGGCGCCTTTGAGAAATGGGCTAAGGGTGGGCCCGTACAAATGTAAGACACGACAAAGATATAGTTAGAGTTTATTGAGAGCTCAACCGCACGCGGTGGTGCAGTGGTAGAATATGCTGATAACAGGCGGAGACAAAAATATTCTATGCGCACGCTTATATCATATAAGGTCACCAAATGGTGACCTTAATGGTGCTTGCAGGAAAACCAACGTAACGAGCGATACGGATGAAACGGGTGCCGCTAATATCGGCACACTCCGGGGCGACAAACAACAATACAAGAAAACAAAGATACAGCGATGAAATAAAAAGTGAATAGAGGAAATTAAACATGAACAGAGTGGGGAGAATCACAGGAAAAGTTACTACGGCTCCTTCGTTGATTCAGTCCTTGTCGTTGGGGTCCAGCGATCGAGCGGGTGTTTGGCAGTAGATTAGGGGGTGAGAAAGACATCTAGGGACGATGACGTGGCGTTAACTTGTTTGATCCTGACCAACGTGAAGAGATATTGCACCTGATGAAGACCAAAGCTAAAGTAAATATAATTATTAATTTCTACAAGTCTGTCTAGCGCATTGCACGAGCGCTTTGGCCACCTTCAGCAGGGTACATAGTAGGTACGCAATTGCGTGGCGGCTTTTAAGCGTAAGGGTGGCGCCTTTGAGAAATGGGCTAAGGGTGGGCCCGTACAAATGTAAGACACGACAAAGATATAGTTAGAGTTTATTGAGAGCTCAACCGCACGCGGTGGTGCAGTGGTGAAATGCTGAGGATAACAGGCGGAGCAAGGTAACTTGCCATGCATCTGGGCAATCAACACACTCATACCACAGCAGGTCATGCTTATGGCATGACCTTTACGGGAATCTGGCATAAAAATTAGGCTACAAAGAGAGGTGCCGATTACATCGGCACAGTGTGATCCCTTGGGGAGTCCTAAGGGATCACCTCTCTTTCAATTTCAATGCCATTTATCTCCCTGAAAACTCAATGAAACGCTGTAAAATTGTACCGTGGATATACTACGGCGCTGCTAAAGATGATTATAGTAGAAAGTGAAATCTCAGGACATCGAAATCTCCGGTAATCACTAGCTCGCGAGCCAGGGATCATCGAAAAAGTCACGATCTTCAGATTCCATTTCTTCTTTTGAAAATATGCATAGCAGTGCCGTAGTATATTCTCAGTACAATTTTTACAGCTTTTTCATTGACTTCTCAGGAATATAAATCACTTTGAAAATGAGAAGTGATAATGACAAAAAACCAATCTTGTAGGGAAGTAAGCTAGCACATTATACGCAGGTATAAGTGTATGAAAGACTTTATAAGCAAGATAGAGAAAGAAGAAGAAAGATACGCAGAGTAGCGAGATATGACGCATCCTCTCACAGATCTCCTCCCCTCCTCAGCGGGGTTGTACGTGCAACGGGCCTTAGTCTCCTTACCCATCTGCGTATATGCATGTAAGGATATTGCCACTCAGGCGCTTTACGGCGATATTCATTCCTCTACCCGTCTTCTGATCGAAACAGCTTGTTCCAGGTACATGGAACGCATATAAGCGCATAGTTCATTCAATATTGTGATCCAACAAGAAGAACACAATTTTAGATATAAATCTACATGAGGTACACATCCAACGGATGTGCATAAATGGAACATGAGTTCAATAACGTTGCAAAAACACTGCACAAGAAAAAAACATCGGTTTTTGAGGGAACGCAACATAACAGCCACATATAAAACCGATGTTTTCACAATTGAAACTAGGCCGTGTTTGCGACCTGTCAAGTACCTATTTTGCACATAGAACAGAAACAGTGCATAGAAAATGGTTAGCAGAGTGGAACATAGTTAAAGAAAAGGTAGCTAACGTATGGCAGAGTAAAGATCATCGACACTATAAGTAAATTGGTTTGTTAGGAAGTGCGGGTCCATGACCAGCCAAAAAGCTGCTGGATAATGTGAGCTTGAAAACTCTGCTACAATTTGTCATTCATAGAATTGGCAGCCTATTGAAAAACGTGAGTGTGCTAGTAAACAAAATATATTATACAACAAGCTCATGGTAATTCATACATGAAGTCGTCAAACAATGCACCTATGCTTTCTTATGCGCAGCACTTACACGACCTTTTGGCCTCCCTACTTTGTTTGGGACAGTGACATGATCCTCATGCGACGCGGGTTCACTCTTCGTTTCAGAAAGTCTCGGTTCTCCTTTTAGTGACTTCTTCAGCAGGGATCTCCTCAACTTCTCAGGTTTATTTTGCGACCCAGCAGTACGACTACAGTCACTATCAGGGGTACCGCGGTTGGCTTGCGCTCTGAAATTGTCGTGTAGGCAAGCACAACAAACCATAAAAGTTCCCACTTGATGCTTTTCTCTATCGGCACAAACTTGTTCCATGTCTGGCCGTAGTTATAGTCAAATAGAAGCTCTTCACCGAATAATATATGACGGCTCGCATAAACGCCTATCCGATGCTCACCATTAACAATTTTGATCTGAAAAAAAAAACGCAAATAACGGAATGCAACCGCACTAGGTTGTGAATCTCACTTCAGATGAGCAGTTAGCATTAGTATTTGAATGATTAGCAAATCGAATAAGATTTCCAACCCGTGTAGCGTCTATGAACTGATCATTGTTCATTCCTGTAAACAAAATCTCGGTTTTGACAGTACAATCAGGCTATCTGAACAACATACCAAATATATAGCTGGTGCAGAACTTGTCATAGATCAATCCACGCCGTTCAGACTCCCACTTCGAGATCACTTCACCAGTATACTCAGCGATCAAATCACCCTTAAAAATGAACATTGGACTACATATGCACGAGATCAAGCCATTACGAACAAGATTCTCACCTTATCAGCCGTTTCTTGGATGAAACAACCCCATCCAGCAATGCCAGAGATCCCAACCTGGAAATACGACATACTCTACACAATTATTTGAGAGTCAGATATTATGTTTCTAGCTTCACTACGAAGATTTTGAAAGTCTAACTCATTCCCTATGTTCGCGCTAATTATGGTAAGCATATGACGGTTCGCTCAGGACACAAGATGTGTATGTCGTATTCGGCTTTTTGAAACACTGCTTCAACTAGAATTCGACCAAAATCAAAAGAAAAGCCGACCATGAAATATAACACAAAACGCATAGGTAACGCTAAAGAGTGTAGATCATACCTTGAGGAGCTTTTGATGGCCGCGCTGCAATGGAACGTTCCGACACTTCTCACCATCCATCGAAAGGTCATCTAAAGGGTGCATTAACTTTGCAATAAGAAGATCATGCTTTAGACTCATCTAACAACCAAAACCTTTTAGAGTCTCGTTTATGCTCTTTTGCAAGTAAAAACTGTATATAACTGTATAACCGATATCTCATTCAGATAATTGAATGAGCTGACCTTGAACATAGGTTTAAAATATGTACTCACCACACTTGCAAGATTTGCATAGGTCTGGATCGCATTCCCATCGGGCAAAATAGCACTGGCATTGCTTCGTACGGCAATTACCTACAGTGCAAAAGCTTTGGATCACCATGACAGGCACAACTTCAAACACCTACTGAAAACTTCACCATACCCGGTGCACAACGACATCCAGGAAACCGCATTCGGCAATCTTGCGCGCATCCGCAGAATTTACTGCATATCCCGCTCCCTGATGAACATACACAAAGCGGATTCCCATCGCAGTGGCCGCTATGCGAACATGGGATCATACGCTCCTTGTTTTCAACCTAAAGCAATCTGGACTTTTTTTTCTAAAACCGAGCAGGTAAAGCTTTGTTAGGATAGATTTTTTAGTTTTTTTTGCAAGAGCATGTTTTGAAAATCGCAACAGTAAGGCAAGTTTAGCACTGCGTCAAGCTTGAAGATAACTACTCAGTTATTGTTCTTTTCACACCCTATCACAGGCTTGATCTATGCTGTCCTGGACAAAACATGGACAACGAATAGGCACTACAGCCGCGGACTAGGCCTATGAGTCGTAGCCGAGATGGAAATGCAGGGGAACAAGAATGCAATATTCCGAGCCAACACTCTGTTATTTTATTGATCACCCATTACAGACCAAACCTTACCTGTCCTTTACCGTCAGCCCAAGTGAAGGATCGGAAGGATCGGTGCTTGTCCTTGATGGATCTAAAGAATGACAATTCAGTTCATTTAGCTTACAACAAGTCGCAACTCACACTTTCTTCTGCTCTGGAGTGAGGCTTGGATTAGCTTGAGCCAACTGAGACGCAAGCTGATAGATCTGGAAAACGGTTTTTATCAGTAGGCCTCATTAAAAATAATTCTTTTACCTCTCTACACGTTTTTGGCTCCGCTCCAATATCTTCGCATATCATTTTCATTTCCGCTGTTATTATGCAAATTGACGTTTTTTCTCCGGCTAGCAAGGAGACAAGGATATTCATCAAAGTTGGATTCGAGAAAGGCGCGACTTTTCCATTTCGAGCACTGGGTGGAGTTTGTGGTACACCATTTGTCTGACTTTTGCGACTTCTCGGAGATGAAGGGACTGGTGAATTTCCTCCTTTACCGTTTGCCGTACTAGCCTTGAATAAAAATACTGCCGAATAAATCGACGAAAAAACTGCTGGTCATTCCCAGATTTACTGCTACCAACCTGATTCTCTGCCGTATCCAACAAGTGACAGTTGGGTCCACAAGGTGTGGGTCTTGGAGCTCTTTCTCCCTGGCGACGTTTGAAAGGCTTTACTTCTTCATCGTAGGGACCTAAAAAAGAACGTTTTTTGTGGCCCCTCTCAAAGTAGCAAGAAAAAGAATACCATGAAGCACACAGTCGTACTGGTAGCATCTTTCACAGCAAAGCACATTTACTGAGTGGAAATTCTGGTCACTTCGTGATTTCAGCTCCTGTGTACTCTTCGATGGAGTCCTACCGGGTGCAAACCTTTCCTCCAGGTCTCCACGTCTAAAATGAATCTCTTTTTTCCATGCAAATCAAACATGATCTCAATGCTCACGCTGTAACCAGTTGGCGATGGGAAAGTTTGTTCGGGAAAAGCTTGAAGATCGCGTAGTAGATATGATCCATAATTTCTGAAATCACAAAACTAGAATCAAAAATCATTTGACTGTGATGACCACTCAAACGGCACCGACTTTCTGAATTCGGACGATCTTCCCAATCATATTTTAATATCTCCAACATTTGGAACATGATATAATCATTGATGTACTTATCGCATCCTCGATCAGCGCCATGAATTCCCTGGAGTAATTACAGGATAATAAGCAAGTTTAAAAACAGCCATGTTTTGTTATTCTCTCCGTAATCCAATTTTAAATTTTTTTTCAATAATAATATATCAGTCACTCAATATTATCTTCTCCCACTCTCCTTCCCTCGTCTGGACTATCAGGAACATAGTGTTCAACAGTTGAGTTGCTCCCAAGGGCAAGTGGCGTACTCTTCTCATTCAGATTCAGAGCAGTCTTTGTTGGATGCAAAATACAAGCAAAATTCGCAGGATCCATTTTATAATACCAACACTTTGGTATTCCCAATAGAGAGTGCACAACACGCTTGAAAAACAAAATGATAATCACCTCGTCATATAATTTCCGCAGTTCAGCGCAAAACTGCTTGTCATCATGATCTTCGCTGACAAAAGGAATGTGAGAAAGTCTGTGTTCCTCATCCGCCTAAAACAACCTCCTCTTAGTAATTGTAAAAGAAAATAAGCTTACTCGATTCACCCTAATATTACACTCAGTATGGACCCAATAAGCAGTTCGCGGTCGCAATTCAAGTGCTGGTAAGAAACGAACTCCACACTTCTGTGCATTTGCAAGACGACAGTCGGTAGTCTGCAAAGTTAGAGTTTTTATCTTCGAAAATATGAGGGAAGCGAATAATTAGATAAACTCCACCCAGGAAACCTTAAAATGTGTGATGAACTCGCTCAAGTCATCAGGCTCAAGGTTTAGCGGTGTTGGGGTCGAGTCATCATAGGTGTGATAGCGGCGCAGCGGCAGCTGGCTAATATTTTTCGCGAAGGCTGGCTACAAAATCAAAGGATTAGGAGAATTTGAAAAATGGAAAAAAGAATCATCGTACCGCTTCTTCTTTGATTATTCTATCGTCATATTCTTTGATCACCTTGTTATAAACTTCCATAACTCTTCTACCACATTTTTTCAGAAATCCTTCATCCAGCAAACGCTCATCCTGGAGAATAAACACTTTTCAATTGAAAGCTTGGTTTCCTGTTTACTAACCTCAAACTCATCATCACTTCCCAGACAAAGCAATGACTCCTCAAAAAATGACCCGTCACAGTCCATGCCGGAAAAAGCTTCTTCGACGTCCATGATATCCTCGTCTGCTCCTCCATTCTAGAGCAGTAGATGATATGCGATCATAGCTATGATCCAACGACGATACCTTTTCCTTTTTATTTGACGCTCTTCTTTTGCGTGCGCGGCCATTGCGAATTTCACTAACAAGGGTAGAAGGTTGTCGACGTGATGAATTTGGAGAAATCACTGTCATCGGTGACTTCTGGAAGAAAAAAACAGCATACAGAAATTTAAAGTATTTGGTTGACAAAGAATAGATAGTGCATATTGGGACACCTAAAATATCTTATTTTTACCTCAAAAGCCCTAAAAGATTTTTAAAATAAGTTGCTTTTTAAAAAGATCAATCAATGATTCGCAAGCTTATGAACAGTCATCTGCTGTGCCTGTAGGTGATAATTAACGCGACAATTAGGTAGACCACTTTCCCCCGAACGGAACATTCAATCCAAAAAATCACGAGAATGAATCCTTCATGCCACTCGAATAATGAAGTTTTTACTACTAATCCTGAGAAAGACGCATAGTTATCATAAGAGCAGAAAATATAATTCAGATGGAAAACGCTATCCATGCGAAAATTTCAAAGTGTCGTTATCACAAATATCTGACCATGAGAGAAGCTGCTGCATCAAAATTGACAGTGAAACAGGCTAGCACATTTAGAGGATAGAACCAAATCATGGGATCAAGACGAAAGCATGCAAATTCCAAAATTTTCGGCGATTTAAGTCTAGAAGTATTCTCTTAAGGTTTTTCCACTTGAGAAAAATTTTACTTCAAATACCACATAGTCCTTGAGAGATCTAAGTTGTTTAGGACTGAATTTTATGTTGTTGTTTGAGGTATAATAATCCATGGTATATTGGTTCACACCTCGTCCATTTGGACCCTTTAGCAAAAGGTCAGCAAAAAGTAGGTAAGAGAGCAATCAATCACTCAGAATGCTGTCACATTTCTATTCACCCTCTGAAGATGATTACGTACGCTTAGCTCGAGCAATATTTTCAAAACCAAGATAGGATGGACTATTACACAAACATCAACATAAAATTTAGTCCCAAACGACTTGGATTTTGCCTTTAGCAGAAGGTCAGCAGTTATGTAAGAAAACAATTGATCACTCGGAATGCCGTCACATTTCCGTCATTAGAGCACCCAATTTATAAAAAGCAAGGGAACGCTTATAGATTAAAGAGGGATGAGATCGGCAGATATGAAGGATTCAAAGCAATTTCAATCAGCTGAGATCAAAGATTATAGGCGCAATCTCGAGCAGCGAAGAACTTCTAGGGTAGTAGGATATGTAGAAAGAGCATGGCTAGAACGTCAAAATCGATAGAGTTTGTTATGAGTGTTGTTTGTACCTGTGTGCAAGTAACAGCAGAATAAATAAAGAGTCAAGCGATTCTAGAAAAAAAGGAACATCAAAGTTTGAATAATGACCGCTTATGTGTTGATCAAAAAATATTCCAGCAGAAAATCGTAAGCCGATTGTAAGCCACAGCAACGTCATCGTGACATCTACTGTATGAACATATTTACACAAAACAAGGGAAGCAGAAGAGAAGGCAGAGTTTTTGAAAAGAAAATGAACGAGGTAAATTGGTCGATTTGAATGGTGGACAAAGAACGCCGTGAGCTTTTAATGGCAATTATTGGCTAATGAAAAGCAGAAAGCAACGCGCTTCACGAACTTGATGTTCAAAAAGACGAGCAAAAAAGAACGATGATCAGGATAGAAAAGACTTCAAGTAAACTTTGCACAATCGGCGTTCTTTCGCTTTTCCTTAGAAAGAAGAGGAAAGTTCTGGTGGACAAGAGAAAGAATTTGGCAATGGTGCAAGAACACACATCCAAACGAGCAAACAAAAGAATTTTGGCGGGAGATTGCGGAGATGACGCAGAGACACAGCTGACTGGCCGTGAAAGGCGAGATTCTATAGTTGTCTTCTATAATTACATTTTGGTCACAACAGTATAGGCAGATTATTCAGGAGTCAAAAATCTCGTCAAAATCCGAATCTGAACCGGTTTAGCGTCAATCGATAACTCGTAAAAGCCGGCGCAACGACCAGTGACCCTTATAGCGTGCAACGGCGTGCTAGCTAGGTGGCAGTTTCATTTGCTGCTTACGATGTTTCTAATACCAATTATTAGGAAAAGAAAAGAAGGAGGAAGAGACCAGACGAAGTTGTACAGCCAGAGCAAAAAACTTTGGATTCACAAATAGCAAGAGAAGCAAAAATGAACATCAAATGTGAATCTCAAAACACGAAATTAGGCAATGCATCTTGGAAACTGTATTTAGTAGCAAGTAGGAAGTTACTAACAATCTACAAACCTTGATGTATTAAGCTGTAGGTAGCTCAATAGCAACAAAAAGCTTTTGTCCAATTAGATTACGGTAAAATTACAAGTGTGCAAACAAGTTAGGTGGTGCAGTTGTACTGTACTTGTCATATTTTTCCCGAACGGCCTCCATCGCAATTTTTGCCAAACAAAGCAGATAGGTACAAATGCTGTTTAATTGCATAGTGAGCCTAGACTTTTCTAGAAGGCAAGCCATGAGACGCATCCACCAGATACGACAAGATTTTCGTGTTCAATCTAGGGTGCTTCATAACTTGGAGGAGAAGGTTCGCCGGGTTGAGTGTGCGCATGCTTTCTTCTCTCTTACTCCATACGTAAATTTGACTAATAAACAACATCTGCAAAAGTTCAAGCCCGAAAATATGGTATGACAGAGGATAGCAAAAAAAGCGCGTCATATTTGAAGACCTGAATGCAGCAGCAGAGTCCCCGCCCATTTTTGCGCCAACTTATAGAGTCGCCGGAAGCCAAACGTGTACAGGCATGTGAAAAATTACATGTATCGACTTGAAAATGGAAGCTGAGGAGCTGTATACAGTTCCACGCGGTGACAAGAAAAAACACGTGCAGAAGTACGTTCAGACAGGGGAAAACGTGCTCATACGGTAAATTTCTTACTGCGAAAATACACTGAATGTTTCTTTTTCAAAAGTCCTTAACAGAAATAACAGCTAGCATAAACAATTCATTTTGGCTACGTCAACAGAACTCACAAATGATTGAGCTAGAAAAGTGCTCTGTCTCTTATGTGCGGTGATCAGAGAAAGAAAATTGTATGAAGCGGAAACCGAATGCTTTTTTGCCATTTAACAGAATAAAAATTGCGATCTTCAATCTCAATATAACCTTACCTAGTAACCCACAACATGCCGCAGTCCGATTGTGGTACAAATTTGCCTTGTGAGGATTGGTGTGGTTACTAGGTACAAGGTAGAGATGGAATGGCAATGCTAAGTAATTTATCTAGGGAATCACTTTTGCAATGAAGGTTGAGACAACTTTGAACTTGGACCCACTAACGGCCCACTAACGTGCAGCTGTCACATACAGAGGTCCCAAGTAAAAAATGTTCGACCGTTAGTTACTATCTTGCTTCGAAGTCTTCATCCGATATTTGGGTGCCATTCTACAGAGCTGGCTTCGACTTAGATTTACGGTATGAAGAGAACCACCGAATTTTTCTCAATAGTGTAGGATTACGGTAGGAACTTCGAAGAGATTTCAAGCCATCGAGAGTCATATTTTGCCTGAGAAAGGTATTCAAACATGTTGAGATCTTTTATGCTATGAACAAAGTGTTTGGTTCAAATATGAAATTGGCACCTACCATAATGATTTTTCCATAAGTTATCGACTGCTCCAAAACAAATGTTTTCCAAAGTTACTTAGAAATGGGAATATCAATAAAAAACCCCAATAAAAAGCTTTGAAAATCGTAAAAAAGTTATGTAGTAAAATCAACACGGGTGGAAACACTGCTGAATATCTCCCCAGACTTTTCGGAAATTTTTCGACTGGATAGACGCCTGTTTCACAGCGACTGTGAAGCTAAAAAGTTCCTACCGTAATCTTACACTAACAAAAAGTGATAGGTGATTCGATCCGTACTACGAATCTAAGTTGAAGCCAGCTCTACAGAATAGTACCGAGGATCGGCGAAAGACATTGAAGCAAGAGAGTGATTAACGGTCAAACAATGCACATCTTTCGGGACACCCTGTATATTACCAACACCCTTGGCGTCAGAAATCAAGCACTTCTAAGAAAGGATAGATGTCTAGATTACTACAATATATAGTATAGCAATCATCACAGCATCACAAACTCAGTATTTCAATACCAAAGTGAGGCTTCTGCGTCGTAAGAGCATTGACGAGAATGTTTACAAGTTTTACACGAACATTGCTAAGCAACGTAAGACGCTTATGAATTCCCTTAGCAATACAAATTTCATCTAATAAGTTCCAGAAATTCTTAGAAGAGTGATGGATAATCACAAAAATTAGCTGTGGCAACTATGTATGTATGAGTTTCCAATCAGCCTAAAGAACTTGAGGAGAGATGTTTTTAGTACGATGAAGTACAGATTCTAAAGACGCCATCGAGCAGCGTCTGCTCTCATTTATAACTCGCATCAGCCGCAGGAATTCTGACTTGGTAAAAAGAACAGTCTGTAATAACCCGTGTAACTCTCTCTATTATGCGTACGATGCTTCTCACAAACAGCACCATCGAGCAATAGAACCGTAAACAGTTCCTGTAATAGCTAGCTCGCATCCATTTTGCCCAGAGCTAACAAAGCATGTTTTCACATTCCATAAACTTTCGGTGTGTATGGCTGTTTCAGTGACAGTGGCGCAGCCGCACCGGCTCAGTATTCGCGGCCCTTGCTTGGATGTAGGCAGCGTTCGCAAACTTACTCTTTAGGCATTTATATTCACCAGCCGCGTCAATTGCTTGGATACGGCGCAAGGCGCGAGACGACCGCGGCTTGAGTCGCTGGAGCTATGACACTGTATCTGTCACTAAGATAGCCTGTAGATCTCACAGACAAGGTTTCACTGCGGACCTATTGTGTCTAACCAAATCTCGCTCAGAAATGAGGAGAACAAGAAGCGTTATTTACGAAGAGATGGTCCACAAGGAATTCCAGTCTTCGTGAAGAAAATTCACTCAGATTATCACCGTCTAAAAAAATTCGTTAGAACAAACCTCAATGTCAACCTTTTTGTGGAGACGCTCTTTATGCACTCGACCTGCAATTGAGTTTGCCGCCGTTTTCGCTGTCATCTGTAAAGTACAGTTTCAGTGACTGATTGTAGTCCACTGTGCAAGAATTTGGAATGGTCTATGTTGGGTTACAGATTTACAAAAAAATGGAACGTATGGAGAATTATTCGATCAGTAAACACAGTCGTCACCAATCATCAACCTTCAAGTGCGATTGTACACTGGATTTACGTAGTAGACATGCGCCTACTCGCTGTAGTGTTAAAGGCACCGTCCACCCAAAATGGAGGTCGGCGAGATTATGATGGCATACTAGTGTGGCACACTAGTATGCCATCATAATCCCCCACACTAGGCAAATCCCCAAGCTTCGCCGCAAAAGACTGCTTCTGGAGCGAGAAATCTGCTCCGGAAGTAGCAATGTAGGCGGGGCGACCATGGTCGCCCCGCCCACTTGCATGCTTTATCTCGCCTGCGGTTGTTGCAGAGGGTTCTCGAAACAGGGATTTTTGGGGGTTTCGCGGATTTTCAACTCCATATTCGACAGGGTTTTCAGAAGGCCTGAAGGAGACAGAAACATTGAATTCGAGATTTTGGGTGGACAGTGCCTTTAAGGACAAACATGTTCCCCTATAGATTATGTGACAAAATCTCATGTGCCACTCATATCAAAGAGGAAGATTGCACAATTACACAAAAAGCTTTGCCGGATTTTTGGATACGACGGTGTTAAATCTGCGTCAAGGGTCCCCGTGGAACGACGACATAGTGCTGTGAACGCCGTTCCAGCCTGTGCTGTGATAACAGCTGCGAACGCGCCCGTGTTGAAGCAGCCGTCGAATATACAACGCTCCGTTACGGAGCTGCTTGTATGCTGACACAAAGCAGGCACACGCAAACTCTGGATATGTCCACAACCGAACGAAGGCGATCGGGCCAAGAAGCAAAGCGGAAGCGGACGCGGCTTCATGCCACAAGGCTCGCATGGTCTTGTTACAGTTCAGCCATTTCAAAAGATCATATGTATTACTACACAAAATTCCGTCTTTGCCGTCCCTATCCTCAGCGTTCTTCGGGTGAGTTCCCAGAAGTTTCAGTCCTTGATGTCCATACCATCAAAAATGTCTGCGTAGCGCATACGTTTACAAGCTGAGTTTCCCATCTAATTGTAAGTTACATGTCCACGAATCGAGTTAGGGACGGCAAATACGGACAATATATGCGGTGATGCAAATTTTCCGCACTTCCCGCTTAAACAAGGTCTGCTTTTCTTGTCAGTTGTCTCCATGTTCTTCTATCTAAGGAAAGGCCCTACTCAAAGTTCTCGCACTTTCGGCCTTGATTGTCCATCCATCATCTTGGGTCTACTCCTAGGTCTTTTACATAGTGCACCTACACTCAAGGCTAACCTCGCCTGGCTTTCTTCCCTTCTGCGCACATGCCCGGACCACCGCAATCTCTTCTTTTGCATTTTCTGAGCAATTGAGGCTACTTTCATTTTGGCTTGTATAGTGTCATTGCAGATGCGGTTTCAGTGTGACTCCTACGGTGCATCGCAGCATTTTTGTTTCCATGGTACTGTTCCACGTACATACCAGCACTCGCTGCCATACGTGGGCTGGACGGATAAGGTCCGGTACAGTCCAGAATTGAGTTGCACTGGCATTCTTTGTCGCACACAACTCCTTCAAGGTTCCCCATTTCATCCACGCCATTCATCCACCTGCGACCTATCTCGTACGCCTCCTTCCGCTGACATGTGACTGCCTAGGTACTCGTACAAAGTTGTTTTCTTAAAGGCAGCGTCCGGGCAAAATTGACCTACCTCAGATGCTGTCACATTTCGACAGGGTCCCCCTCAACTAAGATAAAACAGCAAGTCCGCCCCGAAAATGTGAATTCTGAAAGTCAGGTGGGCGGGTCAAGTGCCGCTCCCCTTCCTCCTTCCGCTCCCCTTACGCCTACGAAGACGAGCTTACATGTTTGACGCGCCCCTTTGACGTGTCGTTACACGCAGTGTTTCTACCTTTGACACATGTTTTCACGTGTCACTACACCAGATGAATTTCGGAACACTCGTCCGCGATTATTGAAATAGGGTTCCAGAAACGGGGGTTTTGGAGATTTCAAGCAATTCTCGGTTCGGATTTAGATTCAGGGGCGTCGAAAAAGCAAGAAACGCTAGAAACATGGAAGTCGAGGTTATGCCCGGACGCTGCCTTTAAAGGCCATCAGTGTCCAGGCAAATCTAGGCCCATGGCCTTTTTGTCTGGAAACTGATGAGGGGGTCCTACTTAAGGCACTGCTCACACGGGAGCGCAAATGATTCATTCACGATTGAGAAACCCATCCTCAAACTCCTCCGCACCTGCCCGTGACCGTAACCCGCAAATGACTTTTCGCTCACTTTAACAGTGCGTTCGCGCTGGGACTCGTCCTGAGTCCATAGTTGTTACGGCCTGTGACGGCCACTTCTTCGAAGTAGGTTTTCCATCTTTCGGTGATGCCCTCTGGTTTCCTTAGCGTCCTACCAAGTTTTGTGATATAAAAAAGTGCTCCCTCCATATCCTAAGCGGACTTCGCTTTTCTTTTCGCTATCCGGTATATCTCACGTTCTCCCGCGCGATACTCTGCTGCTCATAGATATCGATAACCTATTTTGCTCTCTTTACAGAGGCCTTCGCAGCGTGTTTGGCTTCTTGGTATGACTGACGATCTACTGAACTCATTATCCTTCATTAGCTTACCGTGAACGGTTCGCTCGCACTATCTGACAGTACTCGCATTATAACAGATCCGAACCACCAATATTGCTATTCTTACACAGTTATCGTACCAGTCCGAGGTCAACATCCCTCGAAGAGTCTTCTACCCGCTAACAGTTCGGTGCGTCGGCCGGGAATCGAACCCGGGCCGCCCGCGTGGCAGGCGAGCAATCTACCACTGTCCCAATGCGGACAAATCGTCACCACAGCACCCACGTGTGCTAGTCGACTGTTCATAAAGCTCTACAGCTGTGTTTGTATAACACACATCAAGGGGCACAATTTCGCCTCAGGCTACTATAAAGCCTACGAACCACCGATACATTTGGTGCATCGGCCGGGAATCCTTCGAAGAGTCTTCTACCCGCTAACAGCTTGGTGTTTTTTTTAGCCTGGCAGATTTATTGAGTCAGACGACTTGTCCGCATTGGGGCAGTGGTAGAATGCTAACATCAATGGGCCTTCCAAAGTTAGGGAACGGCCATAGGTTGCCGTCAACGGTTGTCGGTGTTGTCGGGGTATCGGTGTGTCGGGGTTGTCGAGGTTGCCGGTCGTTGTAGGACCTCATGATAGCTTCCACGTTTTGCGCGCGCTCTCTAAACTGTCTCTGACCCCGACAGCGCCGACAACCGTTGCCGGCAATCTATGGCCGTTCCCTTACTCGACAACATCTGGGCAATAAGGATATCTATCGTCACATCCACAGCCCGTGCTACCCTTGTTCTGCGTCTCACGTTTAGACCTGCCACGTGTGGCTAACATGTTTGCAACGTGGCAACAACATGTTAGCAACATGCCCCAACATGTTGGCAGAACTTTTTGGCCACGTCAACATGTTGCTGCATGTTGCCAACGTGTTGTTGCCAACGTTGCCAATGTGTTAGTCACACGTGGCACGTCCGAGACGACGGCTGTGGAGGGGACGATATATCACATCAAGTCATACAGTAAAGTCGGTTTCATTTCGGATTAGGCGGGGTAATGCGTGGTACAGCGCGTGCACATCGTGGAGGCTTCGCTTGCGCATAGCGCCGGCATTTTGCCAAGCAAAGACTAAGGCCTAAGGCATACCTCACGCGATTCCGGTCGCTGCGCGATTCGGTACAACAGCGACTCTTCGTTACTCGTCGTTAAAGGCAGTAGATCGGCAGAATGAGACCCGCGACAAAACAAGGTCACAGGGTAGGGGAGACGGTCAAGAGGCGCGATTTCTCCGGCTGTCACCAACTTGAAACTTCAGTTTAGTGCTATGCGAATCTTTAAACATTCTCGGATAAAGTGCATTAGCTTACTATCTGTCTGAGATCAGCACTTGCTGAGTTTCATGGTTTTTGCTATAAATCGGACTGAAATACTTACAAATTTGTTCTGAAACGCATTTTCATGAGTTTTTGATCTTCAAAATTGCTGTTTTGAATCGATTCCAAGTTAGCAAGGTTGAGCAACTCATGCAGTTACCTAATATATCTCCTTCTAAGTTTGAATACTTCTAGAATGTTATAAAACACTTATTATGTGCTACTCGGTATCCAGCTGGCAATAAAAATCGCGCCTCTTGACATACACCCACAGGGTAGGAGCCCCCATAATGGAACCTGTGAGCCAAGGTTCCTCTTTCTCTGCCACTTCTAACCCCCGAAATTTCAACGCGCAAGCAGCGCTCATCTCCTCTCCTCTCCGACCCCGCCCACCCCACGGACGAGTAAACGCGAAGCCCGTCGTGGCGAAGACGCAGAGTCGTTCCGGGACCTCATGCTTATAGCATTGCGGCTGCGCGCTCTGACCGTGGAAGTCACTCGTCCATGGGGTGGGCGGGTTCGGAGAGGACAGGAGATGAGCGCTGCTTTCGCTCTGGAATTTCGGGGGTTAGAAGTGGCCGAGAAAGATCGAACTTTGGCCCATAGGTTCCATTATGGGGGCTCCTACCCTGTGACCTTGTTTTGCCACGGGTCTCAATCTGCCGACCCATTGCCTTTAATGCGCCGCCTTTGGTCAGAACTTGCTGTGTTTGCAACAACTTACACAAGCTACCCAAGTATGCATCCAAGAAGCGCGCACGATAAATTTGTGGAAATCTGGCAAATCGCCAAGTCGCGTGATAGTGGCGATTCGGCCGAGTCGCGCGAGGTATGCCTTAGGTAGGTGCCAGAGTAAGCGAATATTTTGTTCAAGTTGGGGTCCCGCGCAGAATTGACATCACTTGGATTGACGCCAGCATGGTGAGTGACGTCCATTCTGCGCGGGACCCCAACTTGAACAAAATATTCGCTTACTCTGGCACCTACCTTAGGCCTAAGGAGAATGAAGAGAGAAAGATTGGGTTCTCAGCACGATTTGGTATACTGTAGCTGCGAAACGGCGCGAACCGTTGCGAGGTGGACGCCCGCCAATCCAACTTCCGCCTGAAGCGGTTCGAAACATACTGTACGATGACAGCCGCCACGCGCCACGTTCGCGCCCGTACCGTAGCACGCAGGCTCAGCCTCCCTCATCCGCAACGATAAAGCATGTAAAAATTTGCCATGTAGGTTATTCTAGATATGAAGAACCGTTGCGCTATTCGAAAAAGGTGAGACTGTGGGGAACCGCCGGCTCCAGCAGCGAACGCTTCTGCAAATCTAGCACGTTTAGATTACTGGTTCACTAGTCGTCTTCCCAATTAATTTGAGACTCCATCAAAAGTACCCTAACCCACCTTGGATGGCAATACAATTCTTGCTTTGTACTCTGGATCCGGCATCGTGGGCGATGATGGCACGGACGACTCGTTTGACTGAAAGGTTTCTCGATGACAACACGAATTTTATTAGTAGAAAGGGTACCGATGAAAAGATATTGGATTCAATATGGTGCCCGTTTGCACCAGTATCGTGAGATCGTGTCACGGGACCCGTCAAATCATCTTTCTGTAACATGGAGTGTTTAACGAATTTCCTTTGCTTGTAATGACATTATGATAACCTTGCCGTCTGACGGCTCAGCCTTGGGCGATGATTTTGGACGTAGACCCAAACGTCTGGGTTGCACGGATGGTGGTGGAGTGGGAGATAACTATTAAAAAAAGACATGATACTCGAGACGAAAGAAAGTCATAACTAAGGAAAAGTCGGGCAGAAATTACCTTGGATGATCGAAAACTTGCGTACCTACGTCGACGAGATCGTCTCGTACTCCCAGATGAATTCTAAAAACTGTCTTGTACCAGCAATAATATTTGGTGTAGTATTAATATGGTACAATAAGTGAGGTATTTACCGAGCTACCGCTGCTTGACGTCCGTAAGCGACGAGCACGCTTCGGTCGTGGATTCATTGTCCTAAGCACTGATTTGAGAGAAGCATTCAAAAAGTCTGTAAATAACATGAAAATGTTCTGTGAAGACATTTTATTACAAGACCCCATTATACGACTAACGTTTGAACAACTTTTTTTAAATAGATGATATGTTTAACATATTCACGACAAGGCCGATTTTTCGATTACTGCCGTTTCGGACCAAAGCCTTATTCGCTTTGTCAAACTTACGACCCATCCGCAGGTCGTATTGTCCGAAATGGTAGCCTTTTGGAAGTTCAAAACATGTCTCCGAGAATTTCTCCACAAGGATTATTGAAGGCGCTGATTACCAAAATATGATTTATTTCGGTTTTTGGCACACGTTAAGGTTACGGTAGTCATTCTGTACGAACCCAACATCATGGATTTTCATGCAAAAATGTGTTTTGAGGTAATTTCACGTGCTGATCACGATTATAGTGTCCACTTTGTTCGCTACTTTCCCACAGTGACTACGGTAGTAATACGGTAGAATTTCCTTAAGGATTAAGAAACTGATTAAGAGGCGGTATTAGAACTTGAGATTATCATTTTCCTAATCAGCATGCTAAATAATCTATATATTTACGGTTTGAGCTTCCTGGGATGAACAATGCGAAAAATCAATAAAATAAATACGATAATTTTTGATGGGCTGACATCACTCTCCCCTCCCTGTATTCCTCGTGCATATAAACTTGGATTTTCAAAAAAGCATCACTCTGCGAAAAATTTGAGCTAAAGTCTGTGCCTTATCCCTACGATATTCCTATCGTAAAATTGCATTACAATATCCCTAACCCGGACCACATCTGGCTGGAGCTTCGCCAAGGTGTCTCCAATCATGTGCCAGAACCCCGTAGAATTCCATCGTATACTGGCAAAGCTAGAGCTTCAGGAATCTTACAACCCACCGGTGGGTCGTATTGTCCGAAAAGGCAGAACACGTACGATTCACTGGTACTGTCGTGAATGTGTTAAAAAACTTCTAGGTACGTCACCGGTTGTTTACGACATTTGAAATGAAATGTATGCGCATACAAATATACCCCAGAATTGAGTGCCAAGCTTCAGCACGGATAAATCCGCAAGTTGACTACGATACTTCCCTACATCAGAGCCTTATTTGGTATGTCATGCTAGCCTTTTCCATAATATTGAAGCTCATTTTATTTCAAAGATTTGTTCTGTAGATGTTCACAAACTCTTCTCATCAGGCGAGACAGAGATTTGAATATTTTGATTCCTCGTTTCAGTCGTGACACTATAAAGCTGTACTAGTCTAACAAGGGAATGGTCAGAAATCGAAGTGGCCAAACCAAACAAACTGTATATCATTCGATGCAGCATAAAACGCTGACTTCGAATCTGTCTTCCTTATCTGCTTATCGCTTCTGGTGACGAAGCTACGAGCGGTTTTATTGTGAAAAAATCATATATAAAAACAGCGAAATTGAGCACATTGTTGCACTTTTAGCTCAGCTTCTGGCTATAAAAATTTGAAGTAAGCTAGTTGCATGTTTTGGCCCAGCATTAAGGCGAACGCGGCTCTGTACGGCTATATTTTCAATTTTACGCATAATTTCTTAGCAAAATAATGGTCTTTAATGGCTTATAGCTTCGTCCAGAAAAGAATAAGCAGGTAAGGAAGACAGATTTAGAGTCAGCGTTTCATGTTGCATCTAATGATATGCAGCTTGTCTAGATTAACCACTTCGAGTTCTGACCATTCCCTTGTAAGCCCAAGAGAAGGTAGGAAAGACCTTTACAAGCTGCATTAGAGATCATAGGCGAGAAAAAAATCAAATGCTACGACAAAAAAAAACATATAAAAACTGGTAACCGCATGAGCTATATGTGACTTCGAAATCTTCATTTCAGAGCTTACGAAGCCAATGAAAGAGACATGATATTCCCAGCAGGCTGAATAGACCGTGAAAATTCTAGAAGAATCTACTTCGACGTGGTATCAGTGTATTCACGTAAGCTCACTTTTGATCATATTATAATTTGCCGTACACGATCGACGATGAGTGATAACTGCAAATGTGCCGTATTTCTATCACATTTGAAAAGCATTGATAGGATAGTTTTTGTAATAGGTCAGTGCAAAAATAATGCGTGTTTTGCATCACTTTGAAAAATTAAGTCAAATCTCTATATCACTGAATGCAATTAGAATCATCAGCAGATCTTTCGCAATTCAGAGCACAGTCCTTGTACTGATGAAAAAACCGAGAAGCAAAACTTTTTGCAACTCCGAGCACACTCCTTGTACTGATATGACAAACGTGTGTAACTATCTTGCAGCCACAAGTCACTAGTATCAGTCCAAGTGAAAAGGGCCTGGATGAAGAATTTGTGAAAAATGTAAAGATCTAGAATTGTTGGCTTTTGGGCCTTTGCGCAATAATCGGTAAACCTAAACTATTAGGTTCGCCCAAAAGTGCATTCGCATCATTTTTAGAAATTCATAATTTCTTGCTCAATTGCACAGTTTCAACTCTAGAAAGAAAGAATCGTGCGATTTACAAAATCGTTTGGAAGACTATACAACACGCAAATATAGCGGACACAGAAGTTGTGTAAGGAAAATACTGAAATTTTGATTTTTCTGTGTAGAGTAGCGAACTAAAACTTATTAAGAATCGGAGCAATTGTTATATGATTGAACCGTTCTTTCCGTCTTAGAAAAAAAAACTTCTGGGCCATTGAGCATTTATATCAGAAGTTATAATATACAAAAAATCAAACTTGCCGTTTTGTGCCTTGCTCGAAATTCATAATTTTCCACAGAAAAGCTCATGCAACATAATTTTTGGCTCAAGTAGAAAGAGCAGGCCATAAAACCTATTCGACAGGTGTTTCGATTTTTAGTGCGAGTTTTAGATTTTTGGCAACTTCACACAAAAGTTAGAGTTCAACAATTCATTCTTTCCTACAACTTCGCAGTGTTTGCGTATCGAAATTTTTCAAGATAAATTTTTCGAATTCTTTTTGGATTAAACGCTGCATGTTTTTGCTAATAGTGCTGGCAAGCCTACTCTTACGCTTTCAGGAATGAGCGAAGCGTTGGCTGCTTTTCATAAAAATTTCTGGAAGAACCGCAGCGAATATCCATGCTGTGTCGACAATTCTCACAAGGAATGCATGTTTAGTCAAAGTGCCCTTTTTAGATGGGATATACATACACCATATTGTAGGACATAAAATGCGATTTCAAATCTGCCTTTCTTATTTGCAGAACATTCATGGATGAGGAATATGAGCGCTTATTGTGGCAATAATCTGCATGCGCAAGTAGGACAAAAACAGCCGTGAGACTTTTTCTAGCTCTTCAATGGAGCCGTAGTCATCATCTCAAAACACTTTATTTAAAAAGTACTCTAAAATAAAAAATATTTCACACTTATTTACATTATTGAGGGCTAGTTAGACTTTGGCAACTCATTCTATTCAAAATGCACATTCAACTTTAGACTCCAAAAACCCTCATAACACCTCGTCCATAAATGTTCTGCAGATAAAAAAGGCATGTCTAAAATTAGCATTTTAGGCCCTCTAATACGATACACATTTCATTTAAAAAGGCCATTTCGACTAAACCAGCTTCCCTTGTCAGTCTGATTCAAAAAAAAAACAGTGCGAAATGTAGACATTTGCATATTCTGTGGCTATGTTTTCAAGAAAAAGCATTTCTCTGGTTCTAATCCTGGCCAAGAAACTGATTGCGATAGATTTATTTTGAGTGCGCCTATTCGAAATTCTGCAAATTTTCAACAGATAAAGAAAAAACCTGTTCCAACCACTTTCAGAAAGGGTGAATGGAGCTTTTGACTAGTTCCAAACTAGTTTCGAAAAAAGGAAGTTCGATAGAAGAAGTTGTCAGGAACAAGAGGTAAGGAAAGCAAGCAATGATTCTGCAGCAAACCAATATATATTCTGAATATTATAGTAAGGATTACTTGAACGGTAAGCTCATAACTGCCGCGCCCACATGAGGATATGGGAGGGAGGAGAGGCTAATTCTTACATGTCTACCGTAAAAACTGATAACTTATCTTTCGTTCTCATAAAACGTCACATCGCGCTTAAGACAGTTACATACTACAGGGTGGGAATTCAAAAATCATGCCGAAATACCGACAATCAACCCATAGCTTACATCTCACCAAGCTGGACATAAGCTTTCTCACCATATCATTACTCTTCGTCATGCTCTAAAAAGCAGACCTATGCTCTCATATCTGAATATACTGAAAGATAGAAAACCTATTGGAATAACCAACACTTGAATAGGCATGCTCCATTAGAAGTTGCGCTCACTATGTCTCAGACAGTCGAAGGGATACCTCCGGAGGGCAAATGGCGGGGGTCTGCAACTTCGTGCTCCGGAGCCCTCCCATTGTCCCACTCCGGGGCTCCTCCAGATCTGGCGCACCCCCGGAGCAGAGATTTGCGAGCGTCACCGTGACGTCACAAGAAGGCGAATGGGACCCCCCCCCCCTCATACATGTGCAAAGGGGGAACATGGCCTCTCCACGGTGAAGGGGATCATAGGGGTACCGCCTCTCCAGAGTGAAGGGGGTATGAGGGCCGTCGGGGGAGGGGGAGGAGGGGGAGGGGGAAGGGGAGTTGGAAGGAGCGGCCGCCGCTGTAAAGGTGCGTCGACCGGGGGGGGGGGGGGGTAATATTCGTCATCATTGCTCCTCGTAATCTTTTAATTCACATGCATCAAGTGAAATTGTAGCCAAACCGGATTAATGTCAAATATTGGGTTTTATCCGCTGAAACTCGGAGAAGAAAAACTGGAAGAAGTAAGACTAAGAAATCAACATTTCAAGCAAAATTATAAAACTATCGACATTATTGCATTCAAATTTAGTTACATGTTGATCCTAAATATTATTGGATGATTGTCAAAATTTATTTGCAGGTTCACTGAGAAGTACGTCAGAAAGTGCCGCTGTTGTTCACTTCTGGAGAAAAATTTACGTGTGAAGCCTTCGTGTATATATGTTAGTGAAGTTACTCACG